CAAGAAGCGAAGTGAGTTACGCAACGCTTTGGCACATTACAACGCCGAAGCTAGCCTCATAATGAAAATTGAACGCATGAAGAGACAACTGGCGGAAGGACAGTCTTTTCTGGAACACCCTGAGTAAATTCTTGGCACTGGGATAACTACAGAATCGGATAATTCAACAAGTAGAATTTGCCTAATCTAATCTAAATTCAAATTCAAATAAAAACGCAAACAATGCAGCATATACAGCATATTTCCCTCCATCTTCCTCCCTATACAAGTTTGGACTGTTCCAAACCCACACCTGTGAAAAAGAACATTAAAAAAAAGTTATACCCCAAACTGAAATACATTATTGCTAAGTTATCTCAGTCTAAAATAGAGCCTTCCCAATCCGACCCCAATTAGAAAAGATTATTCTCTCTATTACAAATGGACGATCCAAAATTGAATAAAAATTGCCCCCTATTTACGAATAAACTCTTTCAGTGACACCAATGTCATGTTAGGGTTATGTCCAAAGTTACGTCTGCACAAAAAATGGACTTACCATCCCATTTGAACAGAATGCACAACTTGCCGAGGACAGAAAAGCGGCCAAGTTTGTATCTCTGATATAAACAGATAACAGATAAACGGCTCACAGTTGACATTGTGAGCAGGCCTAATTTGAAGGTGAGAACACTGCTAAGCTGAAGTCACTCTGTCCTATCAGTGAGAAGAACCGTACCACCTAACACAGTGCCTAGAAGTGGCCATTTGGCTTTGCACTGAGCAACACCAATAAAGTAGAAATCGACACTCTGTACATCATATGCAACTAACTGTAACAGAGACATCACTGTTTGGTAAGGCTGTTTCCATTTAGTTTTTAGATGTAAATTAGCACTGTAATATAATGATTATCGTTCGTTTTATAATATATCTGTGCGAAAGTTAAGTGCAAATCGCGGAAAAGCAAAGTACAAAAAAAATTAATAATTAAATAATGTAAGATTAACTAGTTGCATGTAAAATATGAAATGTAAGAATAAGGAAATTTATATACATAATAATGTATATTATATACATAATGATGTACATATACTATGTAAATTGTTAACAGGTATTCCAAGTCAGAGGAATGGATAGAAGATTGGTCACTCAAATCATTTGGTTTCTTTAAGATTATTTGAACATACTGTAAAATTTTGCTGTTGTTTGAGTCTGATAAAAATGAGGATTCCTTTGCAGCAAAAGAACTATTACTGTCTAGAATATTATAAAAAAGATCGTTGTGACAAATCCTACGAATTTTTCTAAACTGCTGAAAAGGATGGGGTGCTATATTTGTGGTACAATTTAGCAACTTAAGGTTATGTTTATCACGAATTTTATAGAGGAGGTAGATACCGGGGTGGCATTAAATCTCTTAGATATTGTTCAGTGTGATAATAGGTAAATCTGTAGAATAAAATAAGGGATTGGACGTGGCGGCGGTCGAATATTTTCCTGTCCCAGCTTGGTAAGAACAGATGACACTTTGTTTTAATTCGAATGTTTATTTTGAATGTTTAACTTTGTAATACTATTAATTGCTGTACATATATGGTGTCGTAAATCGTATAATTAGGTATTGTTGTAAATTCGCATTTTAAGTTTGCAGTGTATCAAGTGCGATGTAATGTATTGTTTATGTGATTTTGTGAATAAAGATATTTTAAAAAATACTATTAATTCATATTGTTGTTAAACTCTTATTGAATATAAATGGGATTTTAAAGCTCTTGTTATTTTTCTAACTTCCTAAATGATTCAGAACTAGATATTTCAATCTAGTTCTGTTGAAAGTTGTGTTAATGCTTACATTGTAGCAAATACTGTCATGACAATTGCTTTACTCTATATATTTGATGCAACATTCCGTATGATATTGCTCTGTGAGAAGACCTTTGTATATCTGTAATTTAGCTTCGATCCGCAGCATTGTTAGGTCAATAGCTTAAATGTTCTGTGATGAGCTTTTTGTTATACGAAATACAACCTTGTTGCTGTGTGTATGATATGATAGGATTTCATTTTTGGCGCATTTGTGTAAGTACTAAGATCGCTATGAAAGAACTTCAAAAAGTGCAGGAATGGGTTTTAAGGTAACCTTCGGTAACATGTGTTTTTTTCCCAAGCAGGATAAAGGTCTTTGTTGCTTTGCATGTGAAAGACACAATTTCAGGCAAATTTAATTGTGGCTTTTTGCACACACAATATTAATTTGTGAAGTATATATCCATGGGTAATAGTACGTGAAAGTTAGATCCCATGTCAGTACAGTTAAAAATCTTCACACTTCACACAAAAGTAAAGAACGCTTTGTACAGCGTTAACGCCTCGGGTATATACTCTGGCCACTATCTCAGAGTTAACACCTATATGGAATACAGGCTAAGGCCTCATGAAACGGCATCTCTATTTGTGTAACAATATTCCACACAGAAAAACCTACAGACCTTTCATATGTAAAGGGCATCCAATTGTACATCAATGATGTCAGCAGATTTTGTTTGTTATATGAAACTTTGATGGACAACCAACTGTGACATGTTGAGAACTTTAGCTGTGCTTGAAAAAGCAAATCAATGTATCATTCATAATCATATGGTATGTTACAGGCTTGAATAAGTGTTGGACTGATTGAAAAAAATGCAGTTGGACTGTGACTGTTAAAGATCATGTACAAGAGAAGATACATCTAAAGCACAGTGTATTATATGACTGGTTTATTTATTTCACACAAATACAAATACAAATACAATACCATAGCAGCCCTTCGGCTGAATTGTGGTTATTGTTTACATTTAAACAATATAAAATCAGCTATAACGATTCAATACAACAATGTTAAACAATATAAAATCAGCTATAACGATTCAATACAACCATGACTTACACAATGAACATGTCAACTATCATTTAGTAACTTTACAATGAAAGGTAAAGTACTGTTCTTAAATCTCGATGTTCTGCAGCTAAATTGACTGATTTGATTTTTGGACCTGAGTTCTCTGCCATGTACAATTGCACGTGTAGGCGGTAACCAACTGGAGAAAGTAGGGGATCTTGATAAAGACACTGCAAACTTCTTACAGAGTAGGACTCGTCTCTGGTACAGAGAGGTAAGGGACAGCTGGCCTAGGGCTGCATCATAGTTGACGTAGTTCTTACCCAATACAATTCTACATGCTCGCCTTTGCACAGACTCTATGTGTCTAGACTGAACAGAGGTGATGCCTGGGTGCCACACGGCGCATTGAACTAAGATCGTATCCAGAACAAAATGTTAGCAGTGTAAATCACTGTATATAACAATCAAGACTCTAACAATGAATTATATACCAACACTGTTATATCTCCTGCCTTTCATTGAGACTGGCGATGTTAGAATGCTCAAGATTTTGCGCTTTTTTTGTGATTTCTATAATAAATGGAATTAACTATCAATGGTTAAATCGCCTCTGTGATATTTGAACTGTGTGTCAGTGTATGTGATGTGTGGTTGTGTGTGTTAAATCTGGCTGCAAGGAAATGAAATATACATACATGAAGCAACAGTCGTTGATTGTTCTATGTAAATATAATATACATACACACAAAATCTATTTGCAACACTGAATGATGAAACATGATTTTAGGAAAAAAACACAACAACTAAACTAAAAGCAGTTAACAGTTGTACATATGTAATATGTTGAGTAGGAAGAAACGTTCCCCAAGAGATATAAATATGTGTTTCATAAAAATGGTAGTAGGGCTTGTTCTGTGGGTCTTTATGGCCTTTCCTGTGCGCGTACTATGTAGCATAAAAGAAACACAGTGTACATGTATGTCCATGCTACACCCATAAAACATGAGGTCATTTTAAAGGCCCACATCAGACTGAAGCAAACAAGTCCATAGTCCAAAGATTCCTCTTATCAAATTCCATTTCCAATATATAATTGGGGGACGAAAATAGCTAATTGAAATCAGTTTGAAGGTATAGAAAAGTGGGGAAATGTAACTCCATAGGCCAAAGCTACCCACAATACTAAATTGTACATCATTTGGATCAAACATTATAATACGGAAACCCTACAAGTATAGTACTAGTATACAAATGTAAAAAAAAAAAAAAAAATTAGAAAGGCTGTCAAAGCAAAAAAAAAAAACGAAAAAAAAATTGATGTATACTACGCAAGTGCAAACATTGTGCAGGGAGAATACAAAATTACTACATTAAACCCAACTTTGCAAACAAAACGCAACAACATTATGCTGTTGGTCACTTCTGATCATAATACCATCCAAGCAGCTGACAGTGTTTATCTAGATAGCCTTTTTGAAACCGTTTTTCTGGGGAGGGGGTCAAAGAGAAAGTTTGCTAAGCGATTGTGTTACAGAGGCAATGATGAAAATATAAAATTGCTGATCAATTTATTTAACATACTTGACCACTATCGACTTTCACACAATCAGTAGTTGTAGTCATCTAGCTTGGGAAACACATAATTAAAAATTCTCTATCAATTTCTAGCATATACTATTACTTACTGACTATTCCTGATCCCCCCACCCCGCCACCTGATAATTTGGTGGTAGCTACTAGTAATTAAGTGAGCTTTTTCTTCAATATATAATGGTCGTGGTTAGGATTCTTCCGGGCCCACAGTCCTCATAATTATGGAAGATCGTGCAAGGTTGACTAGGAGAGAAAAGAACAAAAGAACAGCGTAATCTGAGAATGAGTCAACAAGAAGCCGCCCCCCCCCAAAGAAGTTGTGATTGACATTTTCATGTTTCCTGCTAACGCTTAGCATCTGGCAAGCTCATTAAAGCCCCTGTCACACATTCAGAACTTTCCTACGCTCACCACCTACCACTTACCGAACTGTCCCCAACCAAGGTGAACAGTAGGTCGTAGCAAAGTTGGTTGGGTCGGTTGGTGTACTTGCCAATACATATATTGCGATGCCTTCCGCGAAAAACTAGAGTAAAAGAAGGTGCACAAGTTAGTCAAGCTCAGGATTTTGTACAGTTCGGACGTTGTGCGAAGTCATTCAATAAACTAGAGGAGAGTTACCTAAAAAACGCGCCAAATGGCGGGAGTAACCTACTGGACTTCACTTGGGCTCTTCCTATGGTGTTGTTCGGTGGTTCAGTCGCAGACTACATTGAGAGGGTAAGTGAGAACGTTACTAAGCTGGCCATATCTCCGGCCACTTCGAAAGAACGAGGGCAAGCTTTTTAGAGAAGAAAAGTCGTAAAATGAACAGAAGATTGTATGTTCGTGAATCGTACGTTTGTATGTAAACAAATGCGGCTTGAAAGTGAGAAACAGAAATAATTTCATAGCACGAGTGATTGGTGGGTGGAATCGTATGTTATTTTGAATCATCTTTTCAACATCATCTTTTTACCGTCTGAGGGGTGAAGAAATATGACGATACGTAACTGCGGTTTTTTGTTGAAGTTAGCCTGAAGGCAATTTTAGGTAGCCTGGGTATCATCATGATTTTTTCGAGATTTGCGTAGCGAAAATCCGGATGGTACCCAGGCTAAATTTTAGGGCAGTAAAAGTGGATTTTTAAAGTTTAAAGTCATTATCTTTAATGATTTTTTTAAGAACACTTTTTATCTCGTACACATATCTATGATGATATCGATGTAGCCACATTGTCCAATTATAATACGTACAAACCTAGCATCTCCGTTAAAATAACCCGCATAAGTATAGCGTGTTGCGTTCTGGTACTCAGGGAGTCTCGATGGAAGAAAAGTTAGGGGACCTAATCCCTCTTATTCAATCGTGTTTTGAACCCAGTTTTGATGCTTCTAGCAGGGTTTGCAGTATTTTTAAGCCATTGGTCTTGTTTGTACATAGTCGCAACATTTAGCAATGGAAGGACGGACAAGATCTAACAGCGCGGTCAAAAAAAGACCTCCTCGGTGGTTTGATTGACCGTTACTTCCTTGAGCGTCACCTATGGTTGACCCCCCCCCCCGATGATGAGCTCACTGACTTGTGTTCATGCGTGTGCATTTATGTAATGCTGTGTAAAAGTCTTGGTGTGTGTACCGGTCAATAGTGCTGCTTGTTTGTGTGGGCTTAGATCTGGACTTACTTCATGCTACATAACTTTTTTTTGATCACGCATGTAAGACGTTGGAAAACTGGACATTTTACACATTTCGGTTCTTTGCTTGACAAGTACATTTTCATTTTTATTATGTACATGTACGTCTGTGTCGTGGCAGCAGACTTGTAGAAAAAGCCCACATGTCTAGACTAAAGGTTGCAGGAGTTTGTGTAAGACATTAGCGTAGATTTCATGGAAATGATGATTTTCGCAGAAGGTTGACTCACGCATCTATTATTTTCTCTTGGCGTAAACATATCTCTTGTCGCCTTGCCCTGGCTGCATTTCATTGAATAAACAAAACAGTGCGGATGGCTATTGACCAGCGCCATGTTAATTGGTATTCCGTTTCACCTGTACATGTACGTGTTGTATCAACGCAACCAACGCTCCCTAACTTCGGCCGAGCAAACGCTTTGATTGACCCTTACTTCCTTGTGAGTTTTGTGTCACAAAAAGCAACAACATGAAAAGTATATGCTATGTATGTTGTACACAGTGCAATTTGGCTTCGGGTATGAATTTGCGAAACAAACTTCAATGATATGCTGTGTCAGTGAAATGACGTGACACCTCAAACTGCCTATATAAGTTACGCGTAGAACAAAGTCAAACAGACACAGTTACACCGTCTATTGTTTCTCACAGTGACGCAATTGTGTGACGTGTGGAAATTACCTGGAAATTACCTGATGTACTTGCCAATTCAAATATTACAATCCCTTCTGCGAAAAACTAGAGGAAAAGAAGGTGCGCAAGTCAGTCAAGCCCGGGATTTTGTACAGTTCGGACGTTGTGCGCAGTTGTACCATACGATAGAGAGATACGCGCTAAAAACGCGCCAAATGGCGGGAGTAATCTACTGGACTTCACTGGGGCTCTTCCTATGGTGTTGTTTGGGTGTTCAGTCACAGACTACATTGAGAGGGTGAGTGAGAACGTTACTTAAGCTAGCTTAATAATATTTTCGATCACTTCTTAAAGAACGTGTGCAGGCATTTTTATACAAGAAAAGCCGTGAAATTTAAATGAACAGAGGATTGTATATTCATGAATTGTACGTTTGTATGTAAACAAATGCGGCTTGAAAGTAAGAAACAGAAATAATTTCAAAGCACGAGTCATTGGTAGGAGGAACTTGAAGTATGTTAGTGCGTACTGTTGCCATACTTTGAAGCATCTTTTCAACACATGCCTTTACCGTCTGAGGGGTGAAGAAATATGACGATACGTAACTGCGTTTTTTTGTTGAAGTTAGCATGAAGGCAATTTTAGGTAGCCTGGGTATCATCATGATTTTTTCGAGCGTTGCGTAGCGAAAATCCAGATGGTACCCAGGCTAAATTTTAGGGCAGTAAAAGTGGATTTTTAAAGTTTAAAGTCATTTTGTTTTAATGATTTTTTGAAGAACACTTTTTATCTCGTACACATATCTATGATGATATCGATGTAGCCACACTGTCCAATTATAATACGTACAAACCTAGCATCTCCATCAAAATATCCCGCCCGTATAAGTATACTCGTGTTGCGTTCTGGTACTTGGGAGTCTCGATTGAAGAAAAGTTAGGGGACCTAATCCCTCTTATTCAATCGTGTTTTGAACCCATTTTTATGCTTTTAGCAGGGTTCGCAGTATTTTAAAGCCATTGGTCTTGTTTATACATAGTCGCAACATTTAGCAAGTGAAGAACGGACACGTTCTGGTGTTCGGAAGTAACAGCGCCGCAGAAAAAGACGTCCTCGGTGTTTTGATTGACCGTTACTTCCTTGAGTGTCACCTGTTGTCGACTCTGAACCCGATGAGCTCAATATGTGTTCAAGCGTGTGACACTTTTGTTAATGCTGTGTAAAAGCCTGGGGTATGTACCGATCAATAGTGCTGCTTGTCCGTGTAGGCTTATACGAACAAACTTAGCATCCCCAGATTTAGCGTGTTGCGTTCTGGTACTTGGTAGTCTTGATTGAAGAAACGGTCGGGGACCTAATCTCTTTTAGTCTATCGTGTTTTCAACTCAGTTTTGCTTCTAATAGGTTTTGCAGTAGTTCTAAGCTATTGACCTCGCTTGTAAATACTAATGATAGCCAAAACATTAATTTTAGTGATAAGAGAAGTGACACGCTCTGGTGTTCGTGGATAACAGCGCGTTAAAAAAAGACCTCCTCGGTGTTTTGATTGACCATTACTTCCTTGAGCGTCACTTGTTGTTGACTCTAAACCCGATGAGCTCAATGACTTGTGTTCATGCGTGTGACACATTTGTTAATGCTGTGGATGTAAAAGCCCTGGTGTGTGTATCGGTCAATACTGCTGCTTGTCTGTGTGGGCTTAGATCTGGACTTACGTCATGCTACATGCTACTTTTTTTGATCACGCATGTAAGACATTGGAAACCTGGAAATCTTAGACATTTCGGTTCTTTGTTTGACAGGTACATTTTCATTCTTTATCATGTACATGTACGTTTTTGTCGAGGCAGTAGACTTGTAGAAAAAGCCCACATGTCTAGACTAAAGGTCGCAGGAGTTTGTGTAAGACATTAGCGTAGATTTCATGGAAATGATGATTTTCGCAGAAGGTTGACTCACGCATCTATTATTTTCTCTTGGCGTAAACATATCTCTTGTCGCCTTGCCCTGGCTGCATTTCATTGAATAAACAAAACAGTGCGGATGGCTATTGACTAGCGCCATGTTAATTGGTATTCCGTTTCACCTGTACATGTACGTGTTGTGTCAACGCAACCAACGCTCCCTAACTTCGGCCGAGCAAACGCTTTGATTGACCCTTACTTCCTTGTGAGTTTTGTGTCACAAAAAGCAACAACATGAAAATTATATGCTATGTACGTTGTACACAGTGCAATTTGGCTTCGGGTATGAATTTGCAAAACAAACTTCAATGATATGCTGTGTCAGTGAAATGACGTGACACCTTGAACTGCCTATATAAATAACGCGTAGAACAAAGTCAAACAGACACAGTTACACCGTCTATTGTTTCTCGCAGTGACGCAATTGTGTGACGTGTGGAAATTACCTGGAATTTCCCTGATGTACTTGCCAATTCAAATATTACAATCCCTTCCGCGAAAACCTAGAGGAAAAGAAGGTGCGCAAGTCAGTCAAGCCCGGGATTTTGTACAGTTCGGACGTTGTGCGCAGTTGTACAATAAGGTAGAGGAGAAATACGCACTGAAAACGCGCCAAATGGCGGGAGTAATCTATTGGGCTTCACTGGCGCTCTTCCTATGGTGTTGTTCGGTGGTTCAGTCACAGACTACATTGAGAGGGTGAGTGAGAACGTTACTAAGCTGGCCATATCTCCGGCCACTTCGAAAGAACGAGGGCAAGCTTTTTCGAGAAGAAAAGTCGTAAAATGAACAGAAGATTGTATGTTCGTGAAGTGTACGTTTGTATGTAAACAAATGCGGCTTGAAAGTGAGAAACAGAAATAATTTCATAGCACGAGTGATTGGTGGGTGGAATCGTATGTTATTTTGAATCATCTTTTCAACATATGTCTTTACCGTCTGAGGGGTGAAGAAATATGACGATACGTAACTGCGGTTCTTGTTGAAGTTAGCCTGAAGGCAATTTTAGGGCAGTAAAAGTGGATTTTTAAAGTTTAAAGTCATTTTGTTTTAATGATTTTCTGAAGAACACTTTTTATCTCGTACACATATCTATGATGATATCGATGTAGCCACATTGTCCAATTATAATACGTACAAACCTAGCATCTCCGTCAAAATATCCCGCCCGTATAAGTATACTCGTTGCGAGTGTTGCGTTCTGGTACTTGGGAGTCTCGATTGAAGAAAAGTTAGGGGACCTAATCCCTCTTATTCAATCGTGTTTTGAACCCAGTTTTTATGCTTCTAGCAGGGTTTGCAGTATTTTTAAGCCATTGGTCCTGTTTGTACATAGTCGCAACATTTAGCAATGGAAGGACGGACAAGATCTAACAGCGCGGTCAAAAAAAGACCTCCTCGGTGTTTTGATTGGCCGTTACTTCCTTGAGCGTCACCTATGGTTGACCCCCCCCCCCGATGATGAGCTCAATGACTTGTGTTCAAGCGTGTGACATTCATTTAATGCTGTGTAAAAGCCTTGGTGTGTGCACCGGTCAATAGTGCTGCTTGTTTGTGTGGGCTTAGATCTGGACTTACGTCATGCTACATAACTTTTTTTTGATCACGCATGTAAGACGTTGGAAAACTGGAAATCTTAGACATTTCGGTTCTTTGCTTGACAAGTACATTTTCATTTTTATTATGTACATGTACGTCTGTGTCGTGGCAGCAGACTTGTAGAAAAAGCCCACATGTCTAGACTAAAGGTTGCAGGAGTTTGTGTAAGACATTAGCGTAGTATTGGTTTTTCGCAGAAGGTTGATTCACGCATCTATTATTTTCTCTTGGCGTAAACATATCTGTTGTCACCTCGCCCTGGCTGCCTTTCATTGAATAAACAAAACAGTGCGGATCGCTATTGAGCGGCGCCATGGTAACTGATATTCCGTTTCACCTGTACGTGTTGTACCAACGCAGCCGTTTTTCGCTGAAAAGAGCGTGCTTGTTTCTGGTACAAAGACAACCACATTTTCGCTGAAAAGAGGTGCTTACCTTTTACAACCATTTTTCGCGGAAAGGGGGTGCCTGTCTTTGGTACAAACACAGCGTTTACTATTTTTCGCAGAAAGGAGGTGCCTGTCTTTGGTACAAACACAACCATTTTTCGCAGAAAAGATCTAAAGGTGCCCACCTTTGGCGATGGATGTCTTTTTCCCCTAAATGTGCCAGCTTTGGTTACATGAGACGAACGCTACTTGTGATCAGGACTCACAATGAAAGAGTATGTTGTTGCTACAGTAGCAGGGCCGTGCAACGTTTAGGCAGCTGAATCGACACATACCTCCCTACGTTAACCCTACCTAGACCGGGCTTTTTTTGACATGGGGGGGGGACC